CAGCAGCGATAATGACGGTGCCTTTCGCCGATGGCTCGGATCTAAGCTTAAGCACCAGCAGGACCAGGCCATCTTTGATCTCCAGTCCTGCCGTCTTCCGGAGATAGAGAGCGACGTACTTAGTGGGTCGTCTCTCATCCTTTGGAATCGAAACGAAACAGGCCATGACATAGCTGGCTTGCTGGGCCTCCACGCGTAGCTCTACCTACTCTTTCCGGACGCAACGCCGCGGTCAGTACTATGGCAAGTCTAGCAGACACCGTCAAGTGATGGGCATAATTTTTGTGCTCACAGCGGGAGAAGATCGGCACTGGCTGGTCGCCGTAGTGTAGAGAGCGAACAGCCCAGGACCGATGACAGCAAGCGGCGAAGCCACCATGGTCAGGGTAGTTAGCCGACAGGGGTCGGGCGTTCGATCTTGATCTGATAAGATTAAACCGGCCATCAAAGCCGACCTGCGCTGCTGCGACATCGGTGCATCACATGTCGTATGTTGTATACGAGGTGCGTGCATAGCATTGATGCAGGCTTGCAAATTTTTTATCAGATCAAAAAGAAAATTTAATCAGATGGAAGTACGAGTAAGGCGTCGGGACAAGATGGGTGTGGAGGTGGGAAGGAATCCTAGCGCCTGGGCAATAACTATCCCGTAAATTTCCTTGCATCCGCTGCGTGGTTTGTAGCAGCTGCCCCATCAGGCATCATGGTGTCATGCTGGTGCATCTGATAAAAATTCTTCTCGTCGCGTAGCGGTACTATCTGATTCGAGAAGATATGCCGCGGACTATTTCCAGGGTTGCGCCAGTCGTAGTGCTGCATCGCCGTTACGTGTTGCATCCACACACGCATCTCCACAAAGTGACCGATCCTAGTCGCAATCGAATACGCCTCAGGCCGCACGAAGGCACTGACACTCCACGCCCTTTCTGGGCGCCTGGTCTCTGCGCCCACCATGCAACGACGGATCAGATAAAAGAGTGCGGCTAATTATCAGATCCGCGTCCTGCATACACGAGCCGGGGTTGCTCCGGGCGTCATTGGACGGCTGGGGTGCGAGGTCATGTCATTCGTGACGTGCGTGCCATCGGTTAGCGTGGGATATACGAGCATACCGGAAGAACGCTACGCAGTGATTGTTCTTGTGAGAGCGATGCCGAAGCTGTCTAATGACTAGCGGTATGTTGCAGCCGTCTCGAGGCGAATCTCGGGAGATGGAGCTTGATCTGTAGGTAGATGATAATCAGTAATCACAAAATAGTCAGAAGAATATCCATGCCATGCTGAGTTAATGGTCAAAATTTGTTCGTATTTACATTAATGGAAATAATTGTAGTTGCGTGGTATTAGAAACAAAGTGCGAGATGGCAGTCTACAACTTTGACTTGGCGCCTGCATCCAGGCTTGGGCGAACCTTCTTCTCCCCATCCCAGGTGAAAGGACTCAATGTGAAGAATTTCTCTCGGTTGACCATCATCAAAGCACTACGCTTGTGTGGAAGGTCCATGATCTTCTCAACGTGGAAACCGTGGGCGAAGTCATATGCTAGCACAGTGCTGCTTGTTGCTGCTGGTTCACCTACCAGGTTCCAGGTGCGTGGCTCATCAAGGAACATGTAGTGCATAAGACCAGACCACCATGCAGAAACACGGTAAGGCCCTCTGAATCGAACGTCGCCGACGAGTGAGTGCCTGCCGCGGTCATAGGGCGAAGACTGGTAGTGAGCACCCATGTGGTCCTCCTGTGACATGTGTTAGTCAAAAGGTTACATTGGGTCGGACACGATCTCGACTTACCATTGCCCAATAAACTTCAAAGTAGGCAAACAGAATGTCGTCGAAAGCAGCGAACATGGTGAGTACGTGGGGGTCCTCATGCAGCTTTCGGAGATATTCACGGTGTTGATCCAGAGTGCCGGTTTCGTTCCAACCTGCAGCGACACGTGGGTCGTTTTGCCACTTGTTGAATAGTCGGAGATGCTCATCATTGGTGTAGTCAAGAGCCACCATTGTAAAATGCTCCTTCAGGTGTGGCACCCATCGGCTGTAAATGATCGAGCCAGGCTCAGGCTTTGGTTCACGGACAGGATGTTGCGTATGCCGTGGTACAGCCGGGAACTGAGTCGATGGTGCATTCTGGAATGGAAATGGAGGATATGGTCTCTGGATCGGCTTTCCAGAGGCGTGAAGGTGCGGTGCCCAGACTGGACGAGCTCCGAATGGAGATGCGGCGCCCTGCCAGAATGTTCCTCGGAAGAGGAGGTGACCATCGTGAGGCGCCGAAGCATTGGAAGCCTTTGGATGTGAGTGGAAAAGGCCGGTGGCATAAAGCTCATTGGCTAGTTCCTGCGAGTCTTTCCCAGAGAATAGCACGCGGAAATTCTCGATTAGCGGGTGCAGTGAGACCAACGCGTAGGCGATGAGCCAAAGTTGCGGGACGGTTGGCCGATCCTTGTTCCAAGAGACTGTTACATATGGGGATCTTCGAGTGCGAGCCCAAGAACTGTTGTCTCCCTTCGCTGGTACTGCATCTTGGCTCAAGGTGCTAATGTCGGTGAATGAAACAGTTTCATTATGTAGAACTGCCGGCGGAGCAACCTCCTTGCCTGTGGTGTTCGCTGAAGAAAGCTGGACTTGGTAGCTTATGGGCTGTCCTTTCGGTGCCACATTAACGATAGTGTATGCGGTTAGATATGGGTGAGGAAGCTTGAGAACGAGCGGCTCTTGCGCGGTATTCTGCGTTTCCTGTTGCGCCATAATGAAGTTGGATGATGAAGAAGAAGATATGAGCAGAAGATAGCAGATGCAGTTGGTTGCGCGACAGCAATGGGCGAGCAGCTATAACCCTATTGTTTGAGGTCGTTCAAGATGCTCAGGACTCCAACGTGTGAACGTTTAACCGAGGTCGTCCCTAATATCCGGGATAGTTTAGTCCACCACATTACGCAGGCTTAGGCGATGGTGGATTTGTTACCCATCCTCCGGCAAGAAAAACTGGTCACAGGGCTGTCGTGCGGACGTGGCGTGAGGAAAGCTCCGACTGGGTGGCTGGCCACCCCATGTGGGCCTTGGGCTAGCACCCACATGCAAGCCGGCGTATGTGGACGCAAAGACTCGCGCACTTGTGCCGCTGACGCTAGCCATCGGTGACATCGTTGTTTTGAGTGTGGGCATCGACACATCTAGCTGATACTGGCCGGTGTGCAGGGTCTGCAAATTGTGCCTGAGTTGTGCGGTTGTGTTGTGGTGCTGTAGTACTATATTTTTAGCGTCGAAACACCTTCTTGATGTACACACCTAGAAGGCGATAATCGACATCTGCTTCAAACGAATCAATCCTTCATCCATAATGACTTCGACCGAGAGAACAACTCCTACGCCCATGGCAGATTCATCGCCATACTACGACCTCGTATGCGTCGGCTTTGGCGCAGCGCAATTGGCAACAGCCATCGCCAACCGCGAATCCAGCAAACCTTCGAAGATGCTTTTTGTTGAGAAGAAGAACTCCTTCTCATGGGCATCGGATTCGCAAATGTCGAGAACACGAATGGAAAGCCCATTCATGTACGATCTCGCAACACTCCGCAACCCAAGGACTGCTTTCAGCTATGTCAACTATCTGCTTGCTCGCAAGCGCCTCATTGAATTTGCAAACTCAGACCGACTCAACCCTCTGCGAGAAGAGTTCGAGGACTATATGAGGTGGTGCGCCGAGCACTTCAAGGATGAGGTACGCTATGGCAGCGAGGTTGTTGGCGTAGCTCCAGAGGTAGATTCGGATGCTGTACAAAGCTGGAAAGTGGCTGTCAAAGACAGCGCCGGCAAGACGCATGTAGTGCGAGCACGAAGCATAGTCGCTCCCTCACCATCAAGAATGAGCAGTCCAGCTGCGGAGCCGTTGCCCACCGTCGACTTCTTGTCTGGACAGCGAATAATATCGATGCACGACTACCCCAGCAGGCGGAACGAATTGCGAGGTGCAAACGAGCGACCATTGAACATTTCCCTCGTCGGATCCGGCGAAAAGACTACGGAGATTCTCGACGATTTGTTGTCGTGCCCCCGCCTGGGCAACATTACAGTCGTTACAGAAGACGAGTCGTTGGCGCCATTGACGGTTCTCAACGACAGCAAGCCATCGCAACCCCAACTTTGCTCCATTTGGGCGAAGCCAACCAGCAATCAGACAGCTTCTGTGACAGAAGCCTCAGAGCTCGTCCAGAAGATCTATGACCGCGCGTACGAGAAGCAAGTCCGATCCAAGGGCGAGTACAGACTACGCGTCATCATTGGAAAAGATGCCGCTGGCGCGTGCTCACAGTCCGACTTCATCATTAGGGATACGACAACAAACCCGCTCTCCAACATCGCACTGTTCCAGAGCATCGACACGCTCATCTTGGGCTGTCGGCCAAAGGGAGATAGTCTGGAGGAAGTGCAATTCAAGCGTGGCGCTGTCGCTGAGGGCTGTCGCTTGTGGCTGGTGTCCTCAAAGTCTGAGGGAGGACGTGCGTTAGCCAAGGACATCGCCTTGATGGCAGGTGAGATCGTGCGCAAGGTATCGACAGGGTCTGATGCTGTACGGGATGGCGCCGGACTACAAGTCCAGGCTAGGATATAGGGCGGGTGATGGTGTGCAGGTGTGGGTTCTTGTTTCCAAGGTTTAGGCGCTAGATGATGCAAATTTTTATCTAATCTGATGCAAGCTGAGCACAGACCATAATGCAAGTGACACGTCCTTCTCTCCACTCACAGGCCTGCACTCACGAACCACCAACCCACACTACTTTCCACTACACATCCTTCTTCACGTGACGCTATACCCCTTCACGCTATGCTAGCAAACTGCCCTGCTGCTGCACTATGTCGATCCTGGCCGTCGCCTCCTGGCGGGGCCAAAGCGCCCTGGCGAACCTCATGCAGGTGTCTTCGCGCGTCTTCATCACAGCATACAGCGAGGAATATTCTTTCTCAAGCTGCTAAACACATCTCATAGGCTCAATGCCTTTCAGCAAGCCCTCGGGGGCCTCTATCAGGCAGTTATTTAGCTTTCTCCATCTCCTCTTCTACGCAGACCCGACATGGCTCGACAAGATACTGGTGTTTGTTGGCGCTATAGCTGCCATCGCAGCAGGCGTACCGTTCCCGCTCATTGGAATCGTCTTTGGTCAATTGGTCGATGAGATCAATGTAGCAACATGCAACAATCGCGATGGTGGCTCGAATGGGGACGAAGAAGCCGATATCACGCCCAAGATTCTATTGCTTGTCTACATCGCTATCGGTAGCTTCGCTTGCATCTACATACATCTTGTATGCTGGAACTTGGCATCGCAGCGGCTAGCTCAACGCATCCGAGACCGCTACCTTAGGAACCTGCTACGACAAGACATGGCCTTCTTCGACAACCTACAAGCCGGAGAAGTATCATCTCGACTCAATGGCGACATTCAAGCCATCGAGAGCGGAACTGGCGAGAAGGTCGGTGTGGCATTGACTTGCCTCTCCTTCTGTGTTACTGCATATATCGTTGGCTTCATCAAGAACGCCGAGTTGGCTGGCATGCTCGTATCGTTAATCCCTGCATTCTTGCTTATGGCAGTGGTTGGTGGTCACTTTGTTGGCAAGTATAGTGCCAGGCTCGGCTCATGCTTTGGGTCTGCTAGCGCTATCGCGTCTGAAGCCCTCAGTCACGTCGGTCTCGTGCACGCGCTCGGGGCGAATGCAAGACTCGAAGAGAAGTTCGAGAGCCACCTAGGCAATGCTCGGGAAGCAGGCATCAAGAAATCCATGGCTGCTGCTGTACAAGCTGGTCTGCTCTACTTTATCGCCTTTTCAGCTAGTGCCCTGGGTTATTGGCAGGGTAGTCGTAGAGTCGCAGACTCTTTAGAGGGCAAGGGCAGTGCCACTATTGGAGAAATCTATACTGTCACCTTCATTCTTCTAGATGGTATGTACCTCTTCGAGCCTGTACATGGTCATTGGCTGACGTCTTTTCACCAGGTGCTATTGTTTTGAGTCAGATCGCGCCCATGTTGCCACTGTTCGGTGGTGCCATATCAGCATTTGGGCGCTTGCGCAAGGATATCGAAACTCAGCCTACCATCGATAACACGTCGTCATCTGCGGAAAAGCCTACTAACGTCGAGGGTACTGTTGAGTTCCGCAATGTTGCGTTCACATACTCTTCAAGGCCTGACCATCCCGTGCTGAACGGTATCAACTTGACATGCGAAGCCGGTAAAATGACTGCCATTGTTGGTCTCTCTGGTAGCGGCAAATCTACCGTCGCAAGCCTCATCAGCCGCTTCTATGACCCGCAATCCGGTGACGTACTTCTGGATGGGCGCAACGTCAAAGACATCAATATCAAGACTCTCCGAGGCTTCATCAGCCTTGTGCAACAAGAACCATCGCTTCTCGATCGCTCTATCCTGGAGAACATCGCTCTTGGTCTAGTCAATAGTCCACCTCACGCCCACCTCGAGAAGACACTGTTGAGTGGCATCCTCGCCCAAGTTGCAGAAGACGTTAGGGGCGGCCAAGAACTCAATCGTGTTGCCGAGAACGCTGGCCCAGAAGTGGTAGAGATCCTTCAGCTGGTGAGACAGGCTGCAGACCTTGCCGATGTTGCTGTATTCATTGACCGCCTGGAATTCGGCTTCGCGACCTCAGTCGGTTCAAGTGGCAGCCTTGTCAGTGGTGGGCAGAAGCAACGTGTTGCTCTTGCTCGAGCGCTTGTCCGCGACCCGCGTATCTTGATCCTCGACGAGGCCACTGCTGCCCTGGATTCTGCCAGTGAACAACGTATCCAAGCTGCCATAGACCGGGCTTCCCAAGGCCGAACAGTGGTCTCGATCGCGCATCGACTGTCTACCATCAGAGCTGCTTCGAAAATCATCGTCATGAAGAAGGGTGACATCATCGAGCAGGGCACTCACGATCAGCTAATGGAATTCGACGGATCATACGCGGACATGATTCGCCTACAATCTGTCAAAACCGAGGATGGCCCATCAAGCTCAAGGACCAGTGTAGATTCACGCGACACTATCTCTGACGAGAAGTTGGCACTGAGCGCTCAAGAGCCTGATGCTGTACCAGCAAACGATACGCAGGCAGTCGACCCCGTTGAGCATACCAAGGGTGTCGTTATTTCAGGTTCCATCAGGAAGACCATGTTTCCATTAACACGACCGTACATGGGTATCGTGGTGCTGGCTTTCTGCGGAGCACTGATAGTAGGAGGGCAATACTGCGGGTCTGGCCTCTTATTCGGTAACATCATGGGCACCATGTCCCCTTGCAACTCTCCAGACTACATTCGGTCTAGGGGTGAGTTACTGTCCGGAATGTGGTTCATGCTTGCCTGCGTTGCTTTCCTTGCCAACTTCACCAGCTGGGCATCATTCGGTCTCTTGTCTGAGCGACTTATCTACAAGGTCCGCAATCTGTCTCTGCACACGCTGCTCCAGCAGCCGCTGCAATGGCATGAATCCGAGGCGAGAAACCCATCGATGTTACTTGAGTTCATCACTAAGGACGGCAATTCGTTGGCAGGCTTTAGCGGCTCCATCATCGGCACACTTTTCTCCGTCGTTGTTAACTTCGTGGCCGCTATTATCCTATCTCACATCATCGCATGGCGAATCGCGATCGTATGTCTCGTTATCGTGCCGCTACTTTTGGGTGCTGGTTACATGCAGTTACGCGCCATCGGCCGCTTTGCTGTAAAGCATGCCGGCGCGTTCTCATCTTCCATCGGTGTTACTATCGAAGCCGTTTCGAACATCAAGACTGTGCATGCATTGTCGATTGAAGAAGAGATCATACAAACCTACCGGAGATCGTTGAAGGCTCCGCGCAAAGAGATGGTGAAGCAAAGCTTCAAGACCAACGTCTGGTTAGCTGTCGCCAATTCTTGTGGTAGCTTCATCTACGCCTTTGCCTACTGGTGGGGCTCGAAGAACATCATCGAAGGCAGATATACCCAGACCGAGTTCTTCGTCATCCTCATCGCCATGCTCGTCTCCGCACAATTGTGGGGTCAACTATTCACCCTCGCGCCTGAAATAGCCAAGGCCAAGAGCGCCATCGGGCGCATCTGTGGACTGATCGAGCTCGGCAAGGACACACCCTCTACAGGACACCAGAAGGCACTATCCGAAAAAGCACAGGACGATGTTGAGGCAAATGCTGAATCGCCATTGCCCGCCTCCTCACAAGGTGGTGCCAGAGTTGTCTTCCGAGATGTCGGCTTCGCGTATCCAGCGCGTCCCGGTGTTCCAGTGCTGACATCACTTTCATTGACCATCCAGCCAGGTCAATTCTGCGCCTTGGTTGGTCCTTCAGGTGCAGGCAAGAGTACTGTCCTGGCCCTTCTTGAGCGATTTTACTCTCCTTCCTCAGGCAGCATCTCCATCAATGGGTTCGATATATCGCGACACCATGGCGCGTCTTTCCGCGATGATATCGCCTATGTTCCCCAAGAGAACGTACTCTTCCAAGGAAGCATCAAGTTCAACATCGGGTTGGGAGCAAGACCCGGTCATGAACCATCCGACGAGGAGATTCAAGAAGCCTGTAAACTGGCAAATATACATGACACCATCGTCGATCTTCCCCAAGGCTACGATACCGAGTGTGGCTCGAACGGCAACCAGCTGTCTGGTGGTCAGCGTCAACGTTTATCTATCGCACGAGCTCTTGTACGGAAGCCAAAGTTGCTGCTACTAGATGAGAGTACGAGCGCACTCGACGCAGAGAGCGAGAAGGCTTTGGAGCAAGGCCTCGAGCGGGCTGTCAAGGGCCACGGCGTGACAGTTATTGCAATCGCCCATCGACTGAGGACGATCGCCAGAGCTGATGTTATTTTCCTCGTCGAAGCAGGTAAGGTAGTAGATCAAGGACGCCACGAGGAATTGGTGCAGCGTAGTGAGAGTTACCGTGTCAATGCTCTCCACCAGATGCTGGGTTGAGTCTTGTTCAGTTTAATAGACATTCTTAATTCGTCTTCAGCCATATTGGCATTATGCCAGCTCTACAGACTTTGGTAATCTCTTCTCTCCGCCTTCCGGTAACCAGACGTACAGTGGACATTCCTCGTTCTCCCCTGCGTCATTGGTCTCGTTGGATTTGACCAACTTCTCCTTCAGTTTTCGACTTCCCATTCTCTCGTAGAGCTTAACGCCTTCCTTGGAGCTCTCTATATACATGGGCAGACCAGTCTGCTGGGCGATGGTGATCCCACGTTTGAATAATAACTCACCAATACCTTTCCGTTGGTAGTCGGGATGTACAGCCATCACGTGGCAGTAGATGTACCTCTCATTAAGCCACAACTTCTCCCTCGTATCCCAAAGTGGCTTAACAAGGGCCTCGGCTCGTTCTCGTTCTTTCCCCTCCAACCATCCGATCTCACCCTTCTTCCAATCACTCGGCGTAATGTATACGTCACAAAGCGCCATCCCAACAATCTTGTTAGTCTCGGTGTCGATGCATTTGAACGTATATTGCGTTGCACTTGTCTTCCAATACTCCGTGACATGAGCGGTGTGAGCCTGCCTTCATACTAGTCAGTTCATGGATCAACGGCATCTAACGGTAGATCCAAACCAAAGATGGGTACTTACCGAAACTCCGAATTCGCGTCCGTCAAGTCCTTCTCGGTAGCCGAGGGGAACAATGCGCGCGTGAGTGCGTTGTCCTTGAAGGCTGCGAAGTATACATCGTACACGGCGCTAATGTCCGGTACCAGCGCGGGAAGGATCACGAACCCCATTTTGAGTGGCTCGTCACTTAGTAAAATTTTGATCTAGGACCTGAGCAGCGGGGAATGATCTAGACCGTTTGCTGGTGGAGGGTTCAACTCAAGGTACGAAAGGTTGGTAACGTTTGACAGCTGCAGTAAAACGCTCGACCCAGAGACATGAACTTGGTAGCATTTTGTCGCCCACTATGCTCAAAAATTGCACGATCCACCCAAAATGCCCAGCTTCCTGGTCGAAAGATCGTCGGTCACGCATACAGCATACTTTGAGTTCGACCTGGTGGAGGAACGCGCACCATAGCTGTGCCAATCTCTCGGCTGCCTGAGGAACCGCCTGCTTCGCAACGCTAGGGGAGAGGGCGCAAAACTAGTATACAAGACCCACACGTGTAGGAGCAAACACATCACGCCACCGACGACGACCAGACCTTCTCCATTGAGACGCTCGGTCGTTTCTACTGTGCCTCCCCCTCGCATGTGCCGATTAAAGTTATCTGATCCGTTCTTAGCGAGGCTTTCCCGTCGAACGACACATCATATCAGCATCGTTTCATAGCGCAAAAGTCCTATGGCTTTGTGCATATTCATCATTTACCGCGATCAGCGCGTGAAAAGGCACTGTACCGTAGCGGCAAGTTCACGCGTGGGATGACCGTATTTCGCGTATGTTGCATTTCCACTGCTCCGGGCCTTCTTCGTGCGACCAGCAATATCCCTAATTCAAAATGCACGACACTTAAAGCCGGCTTGTGTTGTCGATCGATGCAAAGAATGGCGCATGGATGCTGTTATTGGTCAGCAGCACTCCTCCGAACATCGGCCGTTATCAGATCAAAACGATTTGCGGCGCCAGCGACGTAACCCTGCATGACTCCTACTCCATCGGGCAATTCCGTGCATGCATCGGTAGCACACCATCAAATTTATCAGATGAAAGGCCATGACGCCGCCTTTCCCGCTAGAATTATCTGATCCGCTAAGTGTGGGGATGAGCATGCAGGGCGAAGAGGGTTTTTCTTACGGCTAAACCGTGGTACCTTACCCGATCCCACCATCCCCTCCGCGTTTACGTTAGGCGATGCGCAATACAGCCTGTATCGAGAAAGACACAATGGCGCGAAAAAGCGGACCCTGTTACTACGTCGTAAGAGAAAACTATGACGCCGACGGCTGTCCGACCGAGGATGATGGATCAGTCGGCGTGGGTTGGTGTGCTTGTGCCGGAGCCTTGTCCTAGCTCAATGTGTGGAGAGCTCAGTCCGTGTGTGAAGCGAAAGCTCGATGGGGAGGTTGATGAACTCGCGGCCTTGCGACACTTGGCCATTACTACAACAGTGTCTGGGGTTTGGATCATCCGGCACGGAAATATCTTCATCCCTTCATCACCGCCTCTCCTTCGAAAACAGATATTAACTTTGAAATGAAGAGACCACACAGCAGCTTGAACGGCGGCAAGATGCATCTACGTAACGGCGAGCATGCATCGCACTTTAGCGGCGCTCCAGACGAGCATATCGCGAAGAAGGTGCAAAGCAATGGCGCATCAACCAAAAATGGCAATCATGAAGCCCTAAATACGAACAGCCACAGCTCCAAGACGAACGAGGCTCGAGCAAAAATCCCAAATAACCTAACACCGGATGCTTTGCTGGACACTGTTCTTGCTGCTTGGGCGGCACTCATGCACAGATACCAAAGAGATGTCTTCCATCAATTCTCTTGGGGTGTGGTCAATGCCAATGGTCGAGCGACACAAACCATCAACACAGCTGACCTCAACTTGACAAGCCACAAGACGGCCGCGAGTTTGAGGTCACAGATCAGCAATGTGCGATCGAAGGAGTACGATGCACATAACGCCACTCTCTTTCTTAACGATGGTTCGACACACGAGGTATTAGTTCACTCATCCATCTTTACGACAAGACTGACCTGAATCAGTGGACTTTTGAGGTATCTCTTGACAGGGAAGGAGACTCTCTCCATGCCATCTCAAGATGGCAGACGAATACCATGTCTCGCCATCAAGCCGTCTCTGAACTTCATTTCTTTGTTTCAATTCTTGATACCCTATTTAGCGACCCTGATTGCCTGCTGTCCGCATTCGGCAATGTTTCCGAAGAAGAGCTCGATGAGTTGTGGAGCTGGAATAGTCCTCTACAGCCAGAGTTGAGATTCTGCATGCATGAGAAGGTCTCCGAGCAAGCTGCGCTACATCCGGAAAAGATCGCCATAGATGCATGGGACGGCACTTTGACATATCGTCAAGTGGAAGACTACTCTACTGATCTGGCTCAAACTCTACGACTACTGGACGATTCGCCGAACCAGATCATTCCCGTGCTCTTCGAGAAATCGCGATGGACTTCAGTGGCGGTGCTCGCAGTTATGAAGGCCGGAGCATGCTTCGCGCTGCTTGATCCAGCACAACCTGAAGGCCGACTACGAGCAGTAGTACAGCAAGTCAACGCTAAGCTCTTTGTTTCATCCAAAGCTCAAGCTACGCTAGCTGCACGTGTCGCTCCCGCGGCAACAATCATTCCAATCTCAGCATCCAAGTTCGACAAGGTGTACTCTCCATGCGCTGCGCAGCAACCAAAGACAACTCTCCCGCCAGTCTCACCAGATCAGCCCTTGTACATCCAGTTTACTAGTGGCAGTACTGGTCTTCCAAAAGGATGCATTCTTACGCACAGTCAGTATACGTCTGGTGCGATACCACGAGCTGATGCTGTGGGCTATCGATTGCATTCTCGCGTGCTGGACTTTGCGAGTTATGCCTTTGACGTATGCATTGACTCTATGTTGTGTACACTCGCTCACGGCGCGACGCTCTGTACACCTTCCGATGAGCGCCGTATGAACGACATGAGTGGCGCAATGCGCGATATGCGCGTGACCTTCGCTGGCATGACCCCTTCTGTCGCTCGGACGCTGGATGTAGACATCCTAGATCATCTAGAATCTATCGCTCTAGGTGGTGAAGGGGTGTCAACTAGCGATGCCATGTCGTGGGGTCAAAGGACAAGGGTTGTTAACGCCTATGGACCATCTGAAGCTACAGTTGGCGCGACCATCAATGATAATGTGGCTGCCAAACCATACATTACCATGGGCAAGCGCAAGGGTTGTGCGATCTGGCTTACTGAGCCTGAAGACCACAACAAGCTTGTACCTCCTGGTGCAGTTGGCGAACTGCTCATTGAGGGCCCTATAGTTGGTAACGGTTATCTCAACAACCCGGCAAAGACCAAGGAAGTTTTCATTGAAGACCCTGAATTCTTGATTAAAGGAAGTAAGAGCTACCCAGGTCGACATGGACGCATCTACAAGACTGGTGATCTAGTACGTTTCGATCCCGACGGCAACGGCGAGCCCATCTTTGTCGGACGGCAGGACCAGCAAGTCAAGCTCCGCGGCCAACGTATCGAGCTGGCCGAAATCGAGTTCAACATGCAGAAGCATCTTCCGGCAGATACTCAGCTCGCTGTTGAAGTTATCAAGCCCAGCGGAGGTGGTGAGCAGACGCTAGTTGCTTTCCTCGTGGAACAGAAAAAGAACGGCATGCGACATTTGGATGGAAACGTCTTCGGCAGCTTCACCACCAAATTCCAAGCAGCTCTCAAAGCTATGACTAAACAGCTCGCTATTGACCTTCCCGGATACATGGTACCGAGCGCTTACATCCCGCTTTGGAAGATGCCGCTACTTGTTTCTTGCAAAACCGACAGAAAGCGTCTCCGCGAAATCGGCACTTCAGTCACACGCCAGGATCTCAGACGCTTCAACTCGGTCATCTCGGAGAAGAAGGAGCCTACAACCGAGATGGAGCTCAAGTTGCGGTCGCTATGGGGGAAGCTGCTTGGTGGTGAGGAAGACTTCAGTGCCAATGATAACTTCTTTAGCATGGGTGGAGATTCACTAAGGGCCATGAGGCTGGTGGCTGCGGCGAGAGAGGCTGGACTCATATTGAACGTCCCGGATATCATGCTGAATCCAACACTGTCTGCCATGGCTGCCAAGGCGAAGCCTTTGTCGGAGGAAGCATCGAATGATGTACCACCTTTCTCTATGGTCGGCAAAGATTGGGATGAACAGTCAGCCAAGATCGAGACTGCCAGGCTCTGTGGTGTTGCTGATGACGACGTTGAGGACGTTTATCCTTGCACACCGCTTCAAGAAGGACTCATGGCTCTCTCAGCCAAGTTCCAGGATGCATATGTCGCTCAGCGAATTGCAACACTACCGTCGGCGACCGCTCAGCGTCTTAAGGAAGCCTTTGATACCGCCGTAGAGGGATCGCCAATCCTACGTACCCGAATCGTCAACGTGTCTGGTCGGGGCTTGTTCCAGGTCGTCCTCAGAAATGGTCAGCTGCTGCGCGAGCATGGCTCTGACCCCGCAGAATATCTTCGACGTGACCGCGAAGAAGCCATGGATCTGGGAACCGCTCTGTTCCGCTATGGCTTGGTCCAAGAAGCTGGCAGCGACAAGACCCACTTTGTCATCACGATGCACCATGCTGTTTACGACGGCTGGTCAATGCCTCTGGTCTTTGATCGCATTAACCGTGCTTTTAACGGTCTACAGACTGAAAGGTCTGTATCTTTCAAGCACTTTATCAAGCACCTCACTAGCCTGGATCCAGCGGAGGCTCAAGATTATTGGAAGGAGCGGTTGAACGGTGTCAGCCCGCATCAGTTCCCTCCTCTGCCGCAGAAGGGGTACATCACTCAAGCCGATTCGTTGCTAGAGCACTACGTTACCGTCCCAACAACGGCACACAACAAACTTACTCTCGCAACTATCATCCGTGGAGCCTGGGCGCTGGTATCGTCATTGTATATGGGCCATCCAGATGTCGTCTTCGGTGAGACACTTACAGGTCGCTCCGCGCCTGTGAACGGAATTGAGGAGATCGAGGGTCCTATGATCACGACTGTTCCAATCCGCGTTCGATTGAGTCTTGACCGGCCAATTTCTGAATACCTCCAATCCGTTCACGCGCAAACTGTGAAGCAGATTCCTCACGAGCACTTGGGGTTGCAGAACATCCGCCGATTGAGCAAGAACGCCCGTGTAGCTTGCGACCTGCGTACTGGTCTTGTCTTGCATCCTAGGGAGGACGATGTCGGTGAAGTCGATATGGAGACTGTACCAGCTAACACGTTTCTCCCTGCTGATGATGCGGAAGCTGCACGCGAAGCACTCAAGTTCAACACCTACGCACTGATGCTCGTGTGCACACTAGATGAGAATGGTTTCTTGATTATGGCCAGTTTCGATTCGAAGTGCATTAGCAAGGATGCCATGGAGAGGGTGCTCGTTGTGATGAACCGTGTCGTCACGGCGTTCTTGGGTAACCCTGAAAGCAAGCTGGGCGACGTTGCTGTACTTGATCCTGCCGAAGCGCAAGATGCGGAGGCGATGAGACCGCGAAATATCATGAGTGACAGTGGTATTGGTACGTCGCCGGTCGATAGCCCGAAGCTGGATGCTGCGACGAAGGCATTGTCGCCAAACGAAGAGAAGCTGCGTAGTATTCTCGGCCGCATCTTGGGAATGCCTGAGACGGAGATCAAGCCTAGCGACAGCTTCTTTGAACTAGGTGGTGACTCGATTGGTGCCATGCGACTTGTTTCCGATGCACGCGCGCAAGGCTTGACCCTTACCGTGGCTCAAGTTTTCCAGAGCCAATCTTTGGCTGAGCTGGCGGCTTCAATCGGAAACGAGAAAGAGGACAAGCTGTTGGACATCTTGAGTCGCATTCTTGGTATGTCTAAGAGCGAGATCAACGGCAGTGACAGCTTCTTCGAACTAGGAGGAGATTCCATCGGCGCCATGCGCCTTGTTTCTGATGCACGCGCTCAAGGCCTCAACATCACCGTCGCGCAGGTCTTCCAAAGCCAATCACTTTCGGAACTCGCCTCGTCAGCCGAAGAGGCAAGCTCGTCGCAGACTGAGACTAAATCTAACGCACCTTACGCTGCGCTTGGCAAGGAAGCGTCACTTTACAGTCCCGACCGCATCGGCGCGTATCTTCAGGATCAGACTTGGGAGATTGCGGACATCTATCCGACAAGACCTCTTCAGCAGCTCGCTGTTGAGGGTACTGTTGACCTACCACGCTACTCACTGCGTTACGAGCTCATCAAGTTCGCGGCACCAGTCAACCGCGAAAAGCTGGAGCAAGCCTGCCAAGAGCTTGTTGCACGCAACGAAGTCTTGCGCACTGTCTTTGTGAAAGACGAGAACAAGGTGCTCGGTGTGGTTCTGTCTTCTCTACGAGTCCCCTACACCGAGATCGCAGTACCTGATGGTGAAGACATTAATGCATTCGCCCAAGCAAACATACAAAAGGACATCGAAGCACCGAAGCCACACGGTTCATCCTTTGTGTCGTTTATGCTCCTCACTGATGCCAAGTCCGGCGCTTCAACCCTCGTCTTCCGCATCTCCCACGCCCAATATGACGAAATCTGCCTACCCATCCTGTACGAGCAGCTTTCGGCGCTATACGCAGGTACCGGGGTACCAGAGACCATACCATTCAGCAGACACGTAAATCACGTGGTGCTAGACAACATGCCAAAAGCCATTCCATACTGGCAAAACCTCCTCTCCGGCTCCCAGATGTCTATCATGAAGCCTGACATCCCGCTCACACATCGCGGACCGGCAGATGTATACATGGAATTTGACATCTCAGCGCGTCCAGCAAACATCACCATTGGCTCACTGCCAACAGCTGCATGGGCACTCGTTCTCGCGCGCCGTCTTAGCCTCAAGGATGTAGTCTTTGGCGAAGTCGTTTCAGGCAGGAACATTGGCGCTTCAAACGCTGATCGTATCTTTGGACCTACGTGGCAGTACATTCCCTTCCGCGTGCCTTTCAACAACAGCTGGACATACCTCGACTTGTTAAACTTTGTGCAGCACCAGCATATTACTTCCGCGGCTTACGAATCCATGGGCTTTACTGAGATCGTAGAGAACTGCACAGATTGGGATGCGAAGAAGGTCAACTGGTTTGACACTGTTGTTCATCAGGCGCCTGCTTGGGTCGAGGAGATGCCGTTTGGTAATGGTGTTGAGGCGAAGTTCGAGACAACGTATCCACATGGTGAGCCATTGAGAGAGTGGAAGTGTCAGGCTTTTGTCAAGGATGGAGGAAAGAAGCTTGGGATTGAGATTGTTACTTTTGCGGAGTGGATCGACGTCGCCAAGGGGGTGCTGAAGGAGGTTGGTGAGGCGCTTGAGTGCTTGACGAAGAGCAGGGCGACGGAGAAGATATTCGAAGGTCAAGATTCGGGAGAGCAGAGTCTGGCGGATTTTGAAGGTGTAATGTAGGTCGATCGTATCATGGTGTTTGGGTCTATAGGTGTTGGAGCGAGGGAAATCATCTCATTTCCATGACATTTGGAACTTCGACTGTGTGAGACAGGTCAAATTCCAATGCTGCGCCATAATGCCGGGTCTAAGCTCAATCTCGCTGTCCCTTCCTCGACAAGGTTCTGTTGGGTAAAAGAATCATCTTGTGTCGTTCGTCGACTACCATGAATTCTGTTATCGTGCCGTTTCCTCGGTCTTATCTCTAGTTGTCTCACTATGCTACGCTCAAACAAGTCTCGTCACGCCCAACGCCAGACTTGTTGAGTGTTGCAACAACCAGAAAATGACATTTGGTACATGGATACCTAAGCTCTTTCGAATGTACGGTGTCGAAGTGAGTGTCTTTAGTGACTAGTAACTCTTCCCAGCTAAGCACCGAACGGATATAACTTCCTTGAGCGTTGTCTGATATGCCGACGTAGCGTCACACACGTGCTTGTCATGGAGTTCGAATGTAACGACGGCGCTTCCGGACGACGTTATGATACTGCATAGTCGCAAATCGATGCAGAAGCGGCGGCGATGACAGATGGTGGTTGCTAACAGACGATTCTGCTTCCTGTTTACATGTTGCTACTCCAATGGTGTTAGCTGAGGTTCATTCTATATTTATATATCGACGCTCTCTTGCATACGATATGCCTTTCCAGATTACCACCGCCGCATTCAACCATCTCTTGCCATCATCATACACCGATACTGTCTGCTTAACAATACGTCTTTCGGTCGTTCCTTGCCAGGAGTCATACCCGCACTATTACAATGAAGCTTCTGTCAGCAATTGTCTCTCTCGCCGCTTTGAGTGCAGCAGCCCCTTCACCAGACCTTAGCAAAAGGCAAGAAGCTCTCACGGGCCCCATTCCGTCTCAAGAGACGGTCGCATGCGACGATGATCCCAATCGCACCTATTGCTTCGACGAAGTCGTATGGGGAAGGGGTATGCCAACATCCTGCTGGAAGTGCAGCGCTGATTCTTGCTAGGCCAAGATTACCAGACGACTCTGCATAACTACTGTCAATATCAGTACGCTGATGACGCCCTCAGCTGCCATGGATGCATGCGCCAGCCATTTTCGACTAATAATTGCGCCGCCGCGCCTGGCGCTTGGAATTCGGCGTTCTTCTGTACAGAGGGTATTTACAAGTTTGTCTTTCGATGCAAGAACTGGTGTAAAGAAGGGAAGTGTATCTAGCGGATGACGGTGTGGTTGACGCTGGGATTGTGGAGTGTTGCTTGGAAAGGGCGGGGGGAAGAACAAGGGGTCTCATCGCTCAAGTTGGTTAGCTTGACCTGCTCGTGCAGAGAGTTCGGCGTCCCACTCCCTGATGATCCATGACGATCCTTGGAAGCTTTCTTGCAGCAATGGCAAAGTGTGGTTTTGCTAGCAGCTTCGTCGCTAATGTTGTGGATGCTGTGCAACAACCACGAGAGGTCGCTCCTTGGTTCACGTGCTTTCATGATTAGTATCATATCTTGGCGTTCTTCCATGCCCCGCATCTCTCTCGCGGCACCCCAGCGTTCGCTCACTAACGACAAGTCGAAATCGCTTAGCTTTAGGGCGCGTGCCTGAAAATCACACTCACCGTCGCAGCTCCTAGCCTCCAGGCAGCGATAAGAAGTTGCAAAGCATAATCACCCCAGGGCTCTAAGGGACCCTCCAAAAACGCCAAAATGACAGCGCATATCCCGTACCTGCCCGCAGAAATCCATCGCATTATTGCGGAATACGTCCATCGCGAAGATCTGCCAAGCTACCGGCTCGTCAACAGACAACTGTGCGACATGGCCACCGAGGAATTATTCAGCACAATCGTTTTCCACTACAGTACTGCGAGCATTGATCGCCTGAAAAGGCTCGGTTGGAATGCACGTCTTCGAGGACAGGTGAAGAACATCTTCTGGGACGTCAACCAGTGGAGCGTAGGTAATGTGCGCGACTTTCACGAATGGGAGCAGTACTTCACACAGATAGCACAGCTTGATCGGTGGCGCAACGCCAACTACGACTCATCAGGATACACTCAGCTATCGCAGAACCGACGAGAATGGGAAGCGTACCTTGATCGAGTTGCGGACGAGAGAAAGGCAAGAGTGGATCGGGACAGCCTGCAAGTATTGGAGCGCTTCTACAACCTACATTCAATCCACATCGTCAACGGCGACCTCTTTTTGGCCCACCGTGGTCTTCAAAAGGTTGCGGAAGATTGTCCGAACGCTTCATTTGGACCAGTCGTATTCCGTAGAGGATTCGAAACCTACAGCCTTCGCAATATGCCTGGAATTGAGACTCTCCTGATCCCAGAGGAATATTGCAAATCCTCTCTGAAAGAGCTCACGCTGAATACAGTACACTTCAAGTGTTTTGCGCCATTGACATCGAGTAATTTCGACAACTTATCAAGTTTGGATATCACGATCTTCCCGCGGACATTCCGCGACCGCTACCTTGACACGCAATGGGTAGTCTTAATGATCAAAGGTTTTAGGAGGTTTTTGGCGTCTTCAACACGGCTTGAATGTCTTCGAATCGACCTCAATCACGAGAAAGCAGAACCAAATTCCTATGATGTTGTTTTATCCATCGATCAGGTATTTGACAATAAGCATACGTGGTCGACACTACGAACACTATCGTTGTGTCACTTCTCTGCGACGCCAGATACACTGTTATCGTTTCTGGGTAGACACAGCTCAACATTAAAAGATCTCAGACTGCACAACATTAGCTGGATAGTGGACAATGGCGATGAACGCGGCGAACCAGAGCAGAGATTTTATGCTCCATCAGCGTCCGTTCGACACTGTGCATGGCCGAGAGTACTGCAAGAGATGAGAAAGTCTTTGTCTCTCGATCATGCAACTGTAACAGGAAAGCTTGGTGAAAACAGACATATGCGCGGATGGAGATTACACGAAAAAGACGACGAGCTTGCTGCAGCAGTCTCGGACTATCTAGTCAGGGGAGGGCAGTGCCCGTTAACAGCCGATAATGCTGATTTCGATCCTGAGTCTGACACTGATTCCAAGAGGGAAGGTAGCGCAGCCTAGTCTATCTCAAACGCATCACCACAGCGCTGAGACGAATCTATAATGTTTACATGTGGTTCTCTGTCAGGACTTGATTGCTCCAATTTCGCTATGCAGACGGGGATATGACCCAATCATTCCAGACGCGCATAGAGACACGAGTGCGACAATGTTCACAGTCCTACGATCAATGAAGAATATATCTTGGATACACATGGTATTATACTAGAGTATTTACAGAATGGTTTCTCACACCAAGCCTCTAAAACGGGCAGAACTAGCCAAATAATGCTAGTCAAGAAGTCAAACAAGTTCTAGTAGTTGTACTTGTAGCACAGGGTCGATCCAGTGGTGTCAAGGATATCCCTAACCTTGACGTCTGGCCTGATGCCGTATACGTTGATGTTGGTGTCGAGGGTAAGCGGGTTGCCGGCTTTGTCGTTGCCGTTGATGCTGCTCAAACGGGCAGAGTTCTTGTTTTGCCAGATGCGGAAGTTGCGGTCGACGAAACCGTGGTGCAGCCAGAAGATGGGGTCGGCGGGCGAACCGTAGGTGTCTTGCATGACAGCTCCGATACCGTTGTGGCCCCAAGCGTGAGGACCACCCTCGGCGCAGGAAGCCATACCAGCAAAGTCGCCGTAAGCATTGCACTGAGCAACGTAGTCGGAGTTGCAGTATTGCGTCTTTGCGCCGTCACCGTTGCGGGCAAGGCAATGAGGCTGGTTGCCTGAGCCAGGACCGATGTTGATGGCGAGGTTGGCGAATTGCTGCAGCGGGTTAGTTTGTTGTTCACATGAGGCGTGTCGGACAAGGATTTGTACTTACGCCATTGGTTACACAGTTACCGCCAAGGGCGATACCTCCCAACCACTTAGCAGAGAAGATGGAAGATTGCGAGAATTTGCCAGCATAGCGTGTCTCGTCGAACCAGGGAAGAGGTACGCTCAAGCCACACTCTGAGCGCAGGACGTCCTCGAAGGTCCAGAGGTAGTAACGGTGCCAGAGCAAGAACTTGGAGTTTCCGTGCACGTTGGGCGTGAGAGTCTGATGCAGCGCGACGAGATCCTCGTATCGACTCTTGGATGCGGGGAATCGACCTGAGGGGGCGCGGCCCATCAAGCACTTGACTGAGTCAACGAACGCCTGCTTGCTGCTGTCGGGAAAGGAATCCCACTCGACACGGGTGCGGACGTTGGAGCATGTTGCAGCAGCGGCGAAGGTTGTGACGCGGAGTGATTGGGCTTCGGGTGCCTGCTCCTCTGGCTGTGTGGCGTTGTGCTCCTGGAAGATACGCTTGGCATCCTCGAGAGGAATTGGCTGGGCGAATTTTGGTGTGTCTGCGAAGATGTTGAGGGGAAGAGCCTTGATGAGCTTGGTGAGAGGGAGTTCCTGAGGAGATGGGAGCGCAGCAACGCTGGCTACGGTAGCCAAAGTGGCAGTGAAGAACGCGGTACGCATGATTAAGGTATAAGGGTATTATTAAAGTACGAAGGATCCCGATTGACAGTAGTTAGAGAGCGAAGGATAGCAACCCAGGAACGAATGCGGGTGCTTGGTGTTATGGTTGAGCGAGCTGTACGAAAGAAGAGGTCCCGACAATGCAGGACTACCAGACATCCTTATACCTGGGACCTGCATCTCGCGCCTAACCGCCGGATTGCCTGCAGCTTGCGCCTCGTTCTGCAGATCAATCTCAGTCCGCGCGACGAGCCGTCTCACCAGCGACACCTGATCATCCGCCATGGAAATACGAAGCGCGCATGTACCGTGGGTGTCGATACGGCCTAGGCCTGCAACGTTGTATTGGAAAGTAACTAAGCGTGCGCGAGCTACAACGGTAAGAACAAATGATAAGTGGAAAGCTAAACTGCTTTTGCGCTGTGGCTCATCAAAGAGAGCCGAACTTCCAGGTCAGGCCTACCTCGGTATTTGCTGGTTTACACACGGGGATGATGCTGCTTGCCATGGCTCTTGGACCTGCTTACTGGTACGAGGCGAACCCGAGTCGAGCGAAATTGTCAAAGGGCTGAGACGAACTACTGTGGAGCTTGTCTTTTTCCTGGGCTTCCCACGCTGCGTTCACGAGGCGGACCTGCCGACTGCCGGACGGCAGCGTCGTTCTGATTGGATGGCGCATTGTGTTTTTCTCTTCGCTTCCAAAGTTCTTCCCATCCAAAAATAGTGCCTCAGGAACGCCCTCGGTGCCTAACAATGTTCCGGTGGTGATGGCGTCTGCCAACGTGCCAATACTGTCATGCAGATTGTCACATCGCGCGTGGGCACATCATCAAAGGGGATACGGCTTCGTCATCTTCGTACAGTTACTGTGTTAGCATTCCCCTAATGTAGGATAAGCTCACACCGTTTTCTCCAGCCGTGTGATGGTGGAAAATGGCTGAAGTTACGAGGCTGGTGGCGGTGCTGGATGAAAGGGGGATCGACACCATGCATTTTGTTCCTTCGCTAGATTTGCACCCACCACTTGCATCGTCACACAAAATCGCTCCACACATATACGGGAATAACCTCGCACGAAAAATGTCCGCTATCACGACCTTATCATGCACTTCCATGACCGCAATCTCCCAGCGCACAGGCTATCAGCCCGCTATTTTGAGACGCAAACTCCACTCCCACTTTGCATGCCTCATCTTCCCGTCGTACGAGCGATTAATTCCACAGTACGAAGAAGGATTGGTGATGATGTTGGAAGGGTAGCCAGCCAAAGTGGTATACGGCCTACCCCGCCAACTACGCAGCGCTAGTCATCTCCTACACGAGAAAATCAATACCGCTACTGCTGGAGGGCTGAAGAAGGCTGAGCTTAGCACCATGGAGCTCGACAGAAACCATCCGGTGCCTTCTTTTTGGGTAACCGAGACTGACCCCGCGTGTGCTATACTTCTACACCGCCAGATGCGTTGGCAAGAGCTGCATACACGTACTGCTCGGCGGCGGATGAACGCCCAGACGGGTGTGTGTTACCAAGAGAAAAGAAAGTCAATCTATGTGTAGAACGCATGTTCGCGCTACTGATAGGGCGTGTCTCAGCCTCATGGCTACTTTTCTGGTCGTACATACCAAGGAAAACATATCAGCGCAAAGTCGCCAATCAGGAAAGTCACACCAATGCAAGATACCGGTCTACGGGTGGTGCTCACAATACGCGCACGTGGCGGATCGAGCATATGATGCTTTTGTGCGATTATTCATCTATTCCTCATGCTATGCATCCCAAGTCATCACATTCGACTCACGATGTGTTTTGGGAACCGGGTATAGGAAGTGTTTCTGACACCACCAGCGCATTCCTTTGCTGCCGCGCCATTGCAGATGGTGCCTTGGGCCGGTTTCGAGAAGCCGAGTCTAACACATGCTTCTTCCCTCTCTGACACGCTGTTTTTTTCTTCTTTCCGTTGCCACGCTGTGATCAGCGGTCTCGGTTGGCGCTGTGATGTTGAGTTCTAGGAGCCGCGTGTCGATGTATAGGGTGGTAAATGCTTCTCACTGCCGCGCTCTGATCAGCAGTTTCGGTATGCGACAGCATTGACTCAGAAACGGAGCGGTCATAGACTAAGCGCACGGTATTGCTGCGGCACGTAGACTTCTCATTATATCTTGCTGTTGTCAGACGGCGCGTCGATTCAAATCGACAGCTTATGCGTTAGGAACTGCTTCGTCATCCGTCTTGACTAAGCGCTTCTACATGTGGTTACGTAGAACTGAAAGGGATAGAGGACCACTTAAAGTTGCACGAAACGTCGACGACGGCAGTGAGGATAATCTATGAATCTCCAGTGACCCAAATTCGCTCAAGCAAGTTTGGTCGCGTTGGTATCGAAAGTGAAATGGCTACTTTCCATTACATCTGGATCACACACTAGGACCGTGTAGAGTGCATCTCTATCGAGGAAATTGAGCGCACGGATGTACAGGCTCATATAAACATCGTGGTAATGCTCTATTTCGTATGAAACGTCGTATCTCTTTGGCTTTAAATTGAGCGTTCGCGAGATGTCAGCCGCAACAAGATTTTGACAGGCGCTTCAGCGCTGTTGTAATTGGATGCGTAAGCGTAAGCAATCTGTTGTTGGAATACAATCCTAACTCATTCCGTACGTCGTGTAACCCTCACAAAAAAGTCCTCCATGATCCATATTCCCGCACAACTCATCCTCGCCGCCATGTGCGGCTTCACGGTCGAGAAGTCAAACTTCCTCAGCAGCTTAACAAACACCTTGTTGAATTCCATCAATGCAACATTTTGACCCAAGCACTTGTACCTTCCGTTATGGAAGACAAGCTCTACTGTACTAGCCATGTTTGCAAGACGTGCAGGATCCTCCGAGGCTTCAATCCAGCGCTCTGGTCTAAAGAGCTCGGCGTCTGGTCCAAATGTGGCTGTCGAATGCTGGATGCTAAGGTGCGAAGACCCGATTTGAGTTCCTGCAGGGATGAATTTGCCTGCAAGAATATCGCCACCTGGAGGAACAGATTTGAAATTTCCGCCGGTGGCTGGGGGTAGAATGCGCAAGCCTTCTTTGATACATGCTTGAAGGTAGGGTAGACGTCTTGCCTCAGCGTCGGTGATTGGTGACGATATGGTTCCATTAGCGATGCCGTTGTCGATCTCAGCTTGCAGCTTTTTATAGGCAGACGCATTTGCCAGCAGATAGAGTATCACAGCACGGATCGTAGACGCTGAAGTGTCACTCCCCGCGACAATCTGAAGAAGCGATTCGCTTGACGCTTCTTCCGGTGTAAGACCATGACGGATGAACGATCCTAACATATCGGGCTGCGACTTGGCCCCAGGTGCAAATCTTTCCGCAACTACATTCTTTGCGACATTGATGAAAGCTCCAAAACCAAGCTTGTCACTATCTTTGGGAAGGAGTCCTCTCATCAGCCGCGAATGCAACAGATCAGCCAGCCAAGGTAAACTTCCGAGAGTTACCATGAAGGGGATATACGCGGTAGTGATCTTGATGTAATCGTGAAGGTCCTCATCTTGCGTTAGGTACCCAAATGGCTTTCCGAATGCCAATGCGCTGATCACGTCTAGAGTGAAGTACTGCGCCTTGAGTGAGAAATCCATAGGCCGGTATTCAGTACCTGAAGAGATGTACTTTGTGTCAATCAGTTCGACGAATGCAGCAACCTGCTTATCAACAGTGCCCTCCATGGATTCATTCTCTTTTCCCGAGTACCCCGCGGCCATCTTAGCTCTCAGCTTCGTATGCCCAACCTCATCGCGCATCGAAAACAAGTTGTTCCGTCCGGGCTCGAATTTCATCGCATTGTACCATGGCCCTCGTGTATATTCCGATCGCACGGCCGTTGTTCGGCGCACGATGTCTGTGTCGCTGGTAACCAGCTCGGTTGGGCTGACGCGCACCAACGGGCCATATTTGTCTGTCAACTCTTTCGTCGAGTATGCTAATCGGCCGCTGAGCGACTCTCTCACCACCCAAAGACTAGAAATCGACGCGAAAAAAGGCCCGGGGATGTGCGATAGGCGGTACCACTGCAACGCGACGCGCGCTATGTATGTTAGCAGTAAGACGGTTGGGAGGCCGATAGTCAATAGGCTGGCGTAGCCGCTGTGGGCGGGGCTCGGTCCGCTGGCGCCATCAGTAGCGTTGCGCTCCATCTTGTGATATATTTTGAGGAGGAATGAATGCGCAACGCGCATTTCTCTTGACGACGCAACATGGCACTTTTGTACATTCATCCGCCGGGCGTAATCATACTGCGTCGTGCATTATCAGACGGCAGGCGTTTCCCGCTTGAGCTCCTTCCCGCGAAAGCGCTAGCTTCAAGACGGCAGGCAAGAGGTTGTGCTTCAGGCGCCCAGTATTACTATGGATCAATCGCAGCAATTGGCATGGCAATGCGACAAATTTTCCCTGCGATGGCCAAAGTGCCATTCCTTCAGCGCCTTTCGAGAATAGTACCTGGAAGGACGTACACGTCATGCACAGGATATAGCGGAAAGCAGGCGTTGTTGATGTTAGTTCATTCACATACGTAGCTTAACCATGGCGATTACCCCGCGCACTATCAGGTCATATACCCTGGTACACGGGTCATAGTTGCATCCTCGTTCGCAGAACGTGGGCGATCGGTCGACCACGTTGCAATCTAGAACGCTACAAACGACTTCGTGGATGCTTATGTATTCAGGGACGACAGTTGGCAGAGAGATCCTGTTGAAGTCTAAGGCATGTAAGGATGTGCGTTGCTCGGTCTGCTCAATTGGACTGACGTATGCGATACGCTGCCAATAATATTGACACTAAGTCCATCTTTCAAGTCCCGACAAAGTAAGCCTACGTTGATCATTCAGGCCTAAATCACCCTGGTTACATATTGCCAGCTCTTATAACAAGCAGGGAGATCGCGATGCCAGCTACAGTGATCATGTAAGAACTGACACCCGACGCAGCAGAGACATCCGATGTGTACTTTGACCAGCATACGAGGAAGATCAGACTGACGACGAAGACCAGGCCGAAGAGCGTCATGATATCGTTCGGATCCCAGCCTTCCTCGAAGTAGAGACCCCATGCATCTGCCAGTTCTGTCTTAGGATCCACATCTAATATCGTGCCCTTTCGTTTTGGTACCCATCTATAGATGTGAGTTTGATCCTCATGGACGTCTCGTGTCGTGTGCTTTAGCATGTGTGCGAAGGCTCTTGGTGGTATCACCGGGTATGTGCTGTCCAGGGGGCATGCGAAGTCGTAATCTGGATGATCACGTGGAGGCAAGCAGTTACAGCTGGTTCTGCAGCAATCCCTGTGATCACGCACTTCTAATCTGTTACCCATGCGAAGTTTGAACTGACGCAGTATTAGCTGACTGGAGAAGTCTTCGAGCTGCTGCAAACTGACCATGGTGAAGTGAATCGCTTGAATCTTCCTGCAAGACAAAATGCGCATCACACGAGAACGCCGTTTCCGCACCTGCGTCTTCAAGAAAGTGAAGAATTCACGGTCGGTGTTAATGTGGTCTACTCGATCTTGAAGCAAGATTCGATGCTCCCAACTGCGATGCACACAAGACATAAGTTGGAGCGACGATCTTTGGGGGAAGGGCGATTTTGCTCTACGGGGTTCACTTTCTAGCTGTGGACCGTTATGTTCAGGCAGTACCGGATCTCTCGGAGATTTTCCCCATGTGGATATTTTCTGAAGTCCACGAAGTATGTTGTGTACCAGTGCAGGGGAGTGCAAACGGCCGTGAGTAGAAGCAGCCTCGTCGTTGGGGTGGACGACTGTGATTGTGGCATTCAGGGCGCGTTCCATCCATTGCTTCAGCTCAGCTATACCGCCTTCGCGATGCTCTAGAACATCGTCAAAGGAGCGTTCACCACACGTCTAGAATTGCCATCAGTCTCTGTCATCAATTTGACACCAGTAGCCTGGGCATGCAAGACATTGACTTACGTGGCATTCGATCTTGATTCGAGTCCATCCAGTCTGCAAAGGAGGTTCCAGACATTCCAATGATACAAGGAGATTTGTCACCATGAACATAGCTGTACTATTGAATGTACGTATGAGACTTCTTCCTAGCCTGCCGCTTTCCGTGTACTCTTGGATGTCTTCTCCGACGTAGGTTTCGGAACTTTCGGTGACTGATACGGTAGGTCTAAAGAGATAGGACGATTGCGTCTCAGTTCGAAGTGTCGCAAAAGCATTGCTCTGTGTCAAAAACGATCGGAAAGCATCTAGATCGTCATTGAACTGCCGCTCATCGACGGACTGTCCTTGAACTTCATCATCAGAGCTATCGTCCGCATCTTCCGTTAATCCATGTGTCCACTTGTAGTCATCACTAATGCATCGAGCGGCGTGACTGACCTGATCAAGCACAAGGTTCGATGCAATAACTTCCAGATGGTCTTTAGCCTCGTTTCTGAGATTACGTGCATATGATATCAGAGTTTCAAATACGTATCCACGTAATATCTTTGGCTCAAGAGTGGGATCGTTGCGACCAGATTCGTATATGGGTCCCAGCACTTGGTCTGACTGTATAACGGATACGAATACTCGCGTTGCGATCTGGAGCTGCTTGCGCGAGATTTCACTTATACCCCTCCGAGAGAATACCTTTATTAAGGTCATTGACGATTCTGTAGAGAACACAGATCTGATAGGATCGGGTGTTGTAGTAATCGTAGATGAGCCATCGATCACATCTTCCACGCTCAGTTCTGTTGTCTCCCAGGTAGCTTCGCTCGGCGTCTGAACTTCGCTCGTTTTTTTACCTTTGCCTTTCAAAGACCGGGTAGAGCGAGGTTTTGAAGCATCTTGACTACCGACGCTTGTTCGCGACTCAGCCATTTTCCTTGCTCCTTTCAAATAACTGCCCATGGCATTCTGGCGCACAGTTTGCATGACGTGTTTGGTCCTAAGATCATCAGGTTTGTTGCCGGTGATCCATTGAAGGCCCCCATTGCTAGCTGACTGTTTCTTGGAGTATTGAATTGTTTCATCAACCTCCTGCGAGGCGGAATTTTGTTCATGGTTTTGCTTGTCCCCACTAGCAGCTGGAACTTTGCCTCGGCGGGAAGATTGTGTCGAAGGAAGAGAAGTCTGTTCGGTGGGGAATGTAGGCTCGAACGTCTTGATTTCATGTCCTTCCGTATGCGCCTCGATTCCAGCCATGTCGCAATGCGATATTTCGAATTCGTATAGATAAATGATAAAGAAGGTACTAGAGTAAGCTACAACTCATAGAGAAAGGATAGAGTGTGGAAGCAAGATGTAAAGAAGGAGATCAGCCCGCGTCAGGCTGAAGACTCGTCGGATGACTGTGCAGCCACAGCCTTGTTGACAGGCAGTACATTCAGCCTTGTGCGGACATGTAACATCAGTCTTCATGCACAGGTTAGCATGCGACTAGTCAATTATTCTTGGATAGTCGTCCAACTGGATGAGCTTGTCCACAATGGAACTGAAAATGTTGCGCCCATCATGATGGCGTCGGTGAGCCATCCCAACGGTATATACAAACTTGAAGATGACACCCTAAGTATCGAATCTGATGGACGATCCAATATCTCGGTGTCGCTGGTGATTGGAGGCGATAATGCCATGCCCAGCGTCGGCGCCCGCGTGTCAGCCGTTGAAGGTTGACCGGCCTGAGTTTCGCGTCGAGTAATCAGCTAACCGCATGTGCTCTACCTCGGCTCGATACCCCATCACAAGCTACCCCAGCCGAACGACTCGCCCGCCCAGGTCATCAAAGCCGACGACGTTTCTCTCTCATCCTTCACTACCATTCCAGACTTTTCTTTAGAAGCGGATTCTCTAGCGCAGCAATCAACTACAATAGCCTCATACAAAGAGAAAGAGCAAGGAAACACGACGTTGCACGACAGGACGCGACTAATCAGCAACAATGGCGGAAGCATACCAAAAAGAGTTCTTCAACGTTTCGTTCCCAGCGGAATATGTTGCGCACGTTGAGATCAACCGGCCTGAGAAGATGAATGCTTTCAAGGAGATGTGAGTACAGAACACTCTGATCCGTTGTTCACATTGCTTGTTCTTTGTAATCCCAGGCTGCTGTCATATGAATGGTATTGAAGAGACGGATACACACCGATGCTGCAACATGATCAGGAAAACCTCTGTTGTACACAACCATTGGCAAAATTCATTACTGCCCTCAGGATCTTGCAGCATACCACAAAACAAACCATGTTCCCAAACATACACAACTCACCATTATAACCACAACTAACACCTAACTCAGCATGTGGCTCAACCTCTCCACCATCTTCCGCCAACTCTCCCACGACCCCTCCGTCCGCGCCGTCGTCCTAACCGGCGCAGGAGACCGCGCCTTCACCGCCGGCCTTGACGTAACCGCCGCCTCAGAATCCGGTCCCTTATCCTCCTCAGACGTAGCAACCCAGGACACTGCGCGCAAAGCAAACGCCGTGCGCCGACACATTTTAGAATTCCAATCCTGCATCACCGACGTTGAAAAGTGCGAAAAGCCCGTCATTGCCGTGCTGCATGGGATTTCTTTTGGTTTAGCCCTCGACATGTGTCTCGCTTGTGACATTCGCTTTTCCACCACCACGACCAAGTTCTCCGTCAAAGAAGTCGACATTGGTATCGCGGCAGACATTGGCACTTTATCTCGCTTACCTCACTCCGTTGGGAACTTGTCTTGGGTCAAAGATATTGCTTATTCTGCCCGCATTTTCGGTTCCGACGAGGCGCTCCAACATGGACTCGTGTCGAGCGTGTATCAAGACAAGAAGGAGGCGGTAGGCAAGGCGTTAGAGTTGGCGAGCTTGATCGCATCAAAGTCACCAGTGGCTGTCCTAGGGACGAAAGAGATTATCAATTATTCAAGGGACAGACCGATCAGTGAGGGGCTGAACTATACAGCAGTGTGGAATGCGGCCATGTTGCAAACTGAGGATGTCAAGGGTGCCATGCTGAGTGGATTGAAGAAGACGACACCCAAGTTCAGCAAGCTGTAGATTGTCATCAGGTACATGTTTTGCAAGAAGGGAACCAGATAGAATACTTCAAAAGTTTAGCCTAACTTTTACCCACGTATCATAACCGAGTCATGTCTGGTATGGCACGCATCATAAGCGACGCCTCCAAAAGCATCATGAGAGCTTCCATAGTCGACATGAGCAACACCACGCACGGCAATCCAGTGTTGGACTTGAGAATTTTCATTGACTCTAAGCGCCTGGACGTGGTAATGCCGGAAGAGTCCCAAACCCATCCCGCATGAGCATCAATCATAACCCATGGCATGCTACAGAAGATGTGGAATCGTGATTTTCCCGTTTACGCCCCACCATTTGCACTACCCACAACTATGCAATACCGTTTATCCCCGTGCCATGACACCCCAGCAGCGGATCTTGTTGTCAGTGTATCCAGCGAACAGGGTCTGGCCGTCGGCGCTCCAGGCCAAGGAGACACACTCGGGCTCCCGGCTCTTCTTGCCAACCTCCAAGTACTCGGGCTTCAGCTCGTCAACCTTGCTCTTCTTCTCGAGGTCGAAGATGATGATGCTGGAGGCGGTGGCAGCGCACAGCCAGTAGCGGTTGGGGGAGAAGACGAGGGCGTGGATCTCGTCACCGGCGGAGAGAGAGTAGAGGTGCTTGGACTCGTTCAAGTCCCAGAGCATGGTGGTTCCGTCCTTACCACCGGAGGCGCACAGGGAGCCATCGGGCGAGATGGTGACGGTGTTGATGTATCCGGTGTGACCGATGTGGTCGGTCTGGATGCGGCAGGAAGCGAGTTCCCAGACCTGGATGATGTCAGTCTCGAGACACGCCAGAATTCCAAAACAAGTCGATTGTGGGAGTGTAAATCAGTACTAGGTGATAATTGTCTCATAGCCGAAGCTCTGAAGTAGCAAATACATAGAAAATCATCATATAAACGGGGGAGTGGTGAAAATGCAGCAAAATCAGAAGTACGTACCTTGACGAGCTTGTCCCAACCAGCGGAGACGATGACGGGGTTCTGGGGGTTGGGGGAGAAGCGCACGCACGAGACCCACTCGGTGTGGCCCTTGTCGGTGATGGTGTACTTGCAGTCACCGAGGGTGTTCCAGAGCTTGATGGTTCGGTCGCGCGATCCGGAGACGATCTGGCGGTTGTCGGCGGAGAAGGAGACGGAGAGAACGTCGTTGGTGTGGCCGACGAAGCGGCGGGTGGTGACACCGGTGGAAAGCTCCCAGAGGCGGAGGGTCTTGTCCCACGATGAGGACAGAGCGTAGGCGCCGTCAGAGGAGATGACCTGTGCAGCAATTGTCAGCTCAGCTGTCCCCGCTTCCTAGCCAGCCAATTGCTTGTGCTTCATTTTTCGGAATTCAACGTACACAGTCGGAGACAATGTGGGAGTGGCCGTGGAGGCTCCTCTTGGGGTAACCGTACGAGGTCTCGTCGCGGGTCAGGTTCCAGATGATCAGAGTCTTGTCGCGCGATCCGGAGAGGAGCATGTTGGGGCTGGTCGCATGTCAGTATTGCGCATTCTGCATATTTCCGCCCGCTCGTGTATACGCACTTCTCCAGAGAGGTGGCAAGGGAGGTGACCCAGCCAGAGTGGCCCTCGAGGGTACCACGGAGTACGAGTTGCTCGGCCATGATTGTGGTGGTGAGGATGGACGTAGGCGCACTCGGGTGTTAATGGACAGTCCTGAGGATGTTCGTCGAGGAGACGCACAGCAAGACTTCAAAATTCAAGCGAGGCACTAGTCCGCGTTGGCGCTAGCGCGGAGCCGGCCAGCCCTACCTTCGCAGTGGACCACGAGCCGGATGCTGCCAGCCTCACCAATGGAGTTGGATTCATATAAACTCAAGTGATGTGGTGTATGATGTCTGATGGGCAGTGGTGTTTGCACTCTACCCGTAGCATGTCGACCATCACTCCGACTGATCAGACCTCCCTACCAGTCGACACCAGGAAGCACACCTGATAGACATCAACAACAACATCCTCAGATCGCCCGAATCTATCATTGCCGTCTTGTCGCAAATCCATACCAATGATGAGCGCCACGTCTCTACCCATACCCTTCAATATGTCCCTAGTTTTGCACTCTCAGTCTGTCCTCCAACAAGACCGTCTAACTCCGCTCCAGTCTTATCTCCGCTCCCCTTCCCCACCACATGGAAGCTTATACACGTCCATCGGACAACATTACTCATATACGAGAACCAATCGCGAGATCTCCTCTTTCGTCTGAAGTGTGAACCCAGATCTACACGCGAATACATGCACAGATAAGAATTCCAGTTCCATCTGCCGTGAATCCACCACAATAACCCTCGATGTAAGCTCCAGGGAGATCAATTCCAGAACATCTCGCCCACCAATCCACAAACATCCTGTTAAAAAATGTCCCCATCCACAACATCCATCCTCCTCCTCGGCGCCGGCGAACTAGGCAAAGCATTCCTCCCTCACCTCACAAAGCTCCCCAACACCCACATCACAGTCGGCGTGCGCTCGCCCGCCAAGTACTCCAACCTGATATCGCCCAATAACCTCTCCCTCACAGCCATCGACCTCGCATCTCCTTCCAAAGACCTCGCAGAAACCTTTTCAAACTACGACATCCTGATATCCTGCACCGGCTTCGGCGCAGACCCCAGTTCCGTCCTCAAACTCGCCAACGAAGCCCTCCTAGCGGGCCAGATCCGGCACGCTCAGGGAAACTCCAAATTGTGGTTCTTCCCCTGGCAATGGGGCGTCGACTACGATGTCACCGGCGACGGGGACGGCCTGATGCCGTTGTTCGGCGCGCAGCGCGATGTGCGGACTTTGCTAAGGGAGAAAGCGCAGGAGAGTAACGTGTGCTGGACGGTTGTTAGTACAGGCATCTTCATGTCTTTCCTCTTCGAGCCGTTCTGGGGGATGGTAGATAGAAGTCAAGAAGGGGGCAAGGGGGAGGAAGGAGAGGTAGTAGTGCGTTGTCTCCGGGACTGGACGCACAGAGTCACCGTTACAGACGTCCATGACATCGGACGCGTTCTGGCCAGGATCCTCGGACCGGATTCGACGGTGGAGGCGACGAATCGTGTGGTATATGTAGCGGGGGATACAGTCAGTTATGCGCAGTTGGCCGATGTCATCGAGCGGGTATCTGGCAAGCAAGTTAAACGGGAGCTGTGGAGCATGGAGTATTTGAAGAGCGAACTTGAGGCGGACCCAGACGATGGGATTAAAAAGTATAGGCTGGTGTTCGCGAGGGACGGTGTGTGGTGGGACATGGATAAAACTGTGAATACGGCGCTGGGCATGGAGATGATGAACGTAGAGACGTATGCTCGGAGTTTGTTTAGCGGATGAGAGGATGTTTGGCAATTGCGGGAAATAAGCATGCATGGTGTCTTGATGGTTTTCCACTTCTGTACATTTCGTACGATTATGAATAGATTGTTCGACTAGTATTACTACGTGGCGTGAGCTCATAGTATCGCAACAGCCTGTGAGCGGAACGTACTTGTTGCCGCAAAGAAGCTCAAATGCCTTCGCATCTGCATCAGCCTTCGTTGTAGTTCGTGGCTAAGGGTATCCAGTACGCCGCATTATGCTCTGTTTATCCGCGTGGGAACCACAGCATTCGCGCCCGTGGCTGCTCCATGTCCTTCTCGGCCACTACCCCTCATAGAAACGCCGGGTATATCTTCGTCGCCTTCAATCTTCCTCTTCATCCCTAGATGACTAGTCGCAAGTCCGTAGTTGTCATGACCGAAAGCAGGTATCATTCCCCTGTGTGCATCGGGTCGGTCCTAACGTCCCGGCGGTCCAGGAGGATATCTGCCTGGAGGTCCACCAGGTGGCATGCCCATACCCCCAGGTGGCGGGTACGGCATACCTCCAGGAGGCGATCCTGCATTCCCTGGTGGCGGGAAAGGAAACGGAGGCATCCCTTGAGGTGGGCCGCCGCCCATGTGTGGTGGAGGGAAGGGCGGCATGTTGGGCGGCATTCCGCCAGGACCCGGGGGCATGCCTTGCGGTGGGAAGGGTGGCATTCCATTTGGTGGCATTGGGGCTGTAGCACTGTCAGCATAGAACTGTTAGGCGGTAACTATCGGGCAACTTACGACCTCCACGGCCCATGAACTGCGGTGGCATTCCACCCATAGGCGGCATTCCTACACCGGTTAGCACTCCTGATGTCACTTGTAGCTCTCGATACAACTCACCTGGTGGTGGGAATCCAGGCATACCCATGGGTGGCATTCCCATGGGAGGCATTCCGGCCATTGGTCCTCCAGGGAAGCCACCAGCCAGGTTCTGCTGGAACAGGGGGTTCGCCTGGCCTTCTGTGTTGTACGCGTCGGTGATACTGTTGATGACTTGCTGTGTCTGGTCGCTCGATATCTGCTCGTAGTAGGCCTGGACGTTGCGGAGGTGGTTGCGACCGTTGTTATGGGCCTTGCGCACGCTCATACTATCGTGCGTGAGGTAAACATCGCAATAGTCACAGAAGAACTTGGGCATCGTGTACGGGTTGTTCGTCTAGTCGCCGAGATGGGAAATTCGTCGTAATGGGGTCGGCAGCGAAGTTGCGCGTGAAGTGCTGGGCGCGTCGCAAGAGCTCAGAACTGGAAGAATACCGTCGGCCATGGTTGCGCCGATGGCTTGGCAGCCACTCTTTCACGTGCTCTCGTTTTTAGAGGTCGCGCCCAGTCAGTCGCCTCTTCAGCATCATATCATCCTGTGCATCATTTTGTATCGATCATCTGCTTTCGAATATGGGATTGATTACATGCCCCTAATCATCATGCAAGATTCCACTTTTCCAATTCCAGGATTTGTAACAGACCCCATCCAATAGATTCTCCGTCACAGGTCTCATCCAAATACTCTTGTCAGATATCAGTCCACCATCATCCTAATTGGCATCATGCGCTGATACTTCGATCTCCACCCGCATGGCATCCTCGCCCAGTTTCACAACACCAACACAAGTCCAAATAGGTTCGTGATCCGGCACCCATTT